TTTTAAACATTGAAATTAGTTCCAAATGGAGCAAATCTGTAGTTTGGAGTTGAGGGATTGTTTTCATTGTCGTATATCTTAGTAGGGTTTGATTTTTATTGGTGCCTCTGTCCCATTTTATGCTTTTAGTCCGTCTAAAAGGAATGGCTCCTTTATATACAGAAACAATTTAACTTTAAACTTCTCATTTTATCTTTAATGATATCATTTTTAGCCACACAAATGTTAAGGGATTTATAGACCACTAGTTGAAAAAGTCTTTCATTCTTAAACTTTGTGGCAAGTCAAACACCATTACATGAAATAGGACAGAGGTGGTAGAACTCATGGGATTAGCTGAATAGGCAAGAAAGTATAGGTAAATATACCCCCGTATTTCAGCAGAGCAGTTACATCTTGCTTAGTTTAAGTGTTTGAACTTATGGGGTGAAATTCAGTTTTGATATAAAGTGTCTTAAAAAAGATTGCATGAAGGAGTACAATGGTGAATCATGCAGTCATAAAGTTTTTGAAATGGCATACCTTCTACAGATTGGTATAGAAAATTGTTTATGGTTATAAAGCTCATGAGCAAGGGTAGATTGTTGGATTAAATGTGAGGAAAAACTCAGTTTATTAGTCAACTTAATGTAATTCATTAACAGCTGTAAGGATCACCGGATTAGAGTAATTTAAGGTATTAGGCAGGATGCACCAAGGTCTTTGTACTTTTCACATATAGTGATATGCTGGTTACACTTTCAGGTAGGTGTTGGCTGGTTAAATATTCTAGCAATGGTGTGAAAGCTCAAACATGTACCCCTGGTCAAATTCAATGTGGTTTAGATTTCATGAGGAAGCTAGAACCATACGAGTGGAGAAAACAGCATTTTGAAGCCTTTATGAAGTAAAATATGCTTTGTTACAAAAAGGTTATGAACTGCTACTATTAGCTGTGAGACACTGAAGTAATGTGAAGTGTAGGATATTCTGTTTCTCTTTTTTTGCATGGCAAGACAAATAACTAATAATCTGCAGAGTTTTATGAAAAAAAGACGTCAAGAAATATAACAAACAATTTTTCAGTTACCAGTTACTCTGAGGAAAAGTGTATGTGGTAGCTAACTTAATGAAGCCAACTGTTGAGGCTGATGCATTGAGCATCATGAGAATAAAAAAAGAAATATAGATGTACTAATGACATCCTTCCCGGAAGTACTTTTGTTCTTTGAGCATGATGGTGATGAATTTGATTTAGATAGAAGATATTTCATCTCTTGTCTCATTGAATTCTTGCATGACTTCCACCTGTCTTGATGTTGTCAATGATTTAGCAGTTAACTGGAGCACCTGCATTTGGATTACTTTAGGGATCTTTATGAGAAACCTGGACATTTAAAGTTCTGCAATATGCTAGACTCTTAACTATATTGTACTGTTTGATATTTCTATTTGTTTGCGTAGCTTTTTCTACTCATACTGTAACACCTGATAAATGTTCTATTGAATTTACCCTCTTAATTGTTTCTGGCAATTAAATATCTGTACCTATAGCATTGACATTGGTGATCCTCTTATGATTATGATTAAACGTCTTTTTTTTAATGCAGAATAAGAGCATGAAAGTTGATTGAATGGAGTAGCAACCTTTGGAATTCTAGAAGTTGATGACTGCCTTCATTCTCTTGAACAGTGTCTTTGCAAGGGGTCTTGTTATAGAAACTTATATGTTCAGTACTTCTAGTTTAGTTTGAAAAAGCAGCTGAGAACTTCTCGTCTCGTTGCTGCTTTCCTGGTATTTTGCAGTGGTTAGTTTCTTTTCTCGTATGTTCTATTGGTGTGATGTACCTGCTCCTCAGGGAGTTGGAAGAGCCTTTCTTAATGTTTTTGCACAGGACACTTGGAATTGTTATTCATCCAAAATTTCACCAGCATATAGTTATATCCTTTGGGTTCAGACATAAGCTTCAAAGCTTTGTTATTAATAGTCACTCCTTTTACTTCTCTTCACTAAGTTGGACACCTGTGATGGTTATTTTTCTGTTTTCTATTCTAGTGGTCCTAACCTTGCTGCCAAATTTGGTGTGGTCCTTCTGATGGTGAATGTCTATGCTAGTTGACGCAGAGTGTTTGTATATGCTACACAATCTTTTGATTAGATTTGAATTACTCCATGGAATTCAGTTGCCAAAGAATAATTATGCTTCAAATGGTATCTGTTAGATCAGTTTGTTTGAGATTTCTCTTTTGAAGTTAATGAGTGAATGCTGCTGCTGTGTCCCTTCGACAGCATTAGGTAAATCTTTGTTAAACTTTCATAATTCAGGAGATATGTTATGTACATATATGATGTTTTTCTTAATAATGTCCAATTTTCTTCTGGGAAAAAGCCAATGAAGGGTAATATTTGTGCATCACTTATTTGTTTCTTACAATTTGAAAACTGAAGATAGTTGATATACAAGCAGCCATCTGGCCAACTTTGTATACACAATAATGAATAATAACAATGACTATTGGAAAAAAGGAAACAACAAACTCAATCAATACATTTCACACGATACGATTTATCTTCGAAGTTCATTTATCTCCTTGATGAAGCACCATGAATGGCAGCTATGTATACCAGTTGAGTAAATGATAGAATTATCAAGAATGCCTCCATTGTTTTCTGCAAAATTATCCAAAAATTGTAGAGGAGTTAATGTCAATAGTTCTCATAAATTTGCATAGATTTAACTTTGAGTACAGATGAAGGGTGCTATACCAATTTGGAATTCCTGTAGTTGAGTTCAATTTCTTTCCAAGCAAAGCTGCATGGATGAAAATTTCATTACTTTATTGATATGTAGAATGGTACATAAAAAAGAACAAATAGCACAAAGCGTCAAGAGATAAATTCAGATTCAGATCTTCGTTAAGTGAAAATAGACAGGGCCTTACCCCATGGCAAGGAGTGTAAGACTCCAGGCTATTGCAGCAGCAGAAGCAGCAGCTGGTAAGCTATCGATGTTCCAATGGCGAATGTGGTTAAGTCCAGAGAGGACAGATGCAACTCCAACCACACCTGCTATCAAAGCAAATACAACAAAGAATCCAGTGGCAGCATTTCCAATTGGGAAGTAAATTGGAGAGAAATGTGCTGGAAGTTCCATTCCTGGACCTGAAAAAAATCACACACACCATGATCAGTCTTTAACAAAAGACTATATTTAGTAAAAGATAGAACATTTAGTAGACTACTCTCTCCAACTTAGTAGTGAAAATTATTATCGATCAGGCCAATAGTTGTGGTGCGTGCAAACTGACCTGGACTCACACAATGGTTATAAAAAGAACAAAGAATTTAGTGAACATAAGGATTTTGACAAGATGCTTACCAATGACAAAACCATTATCAATGGCAAAGTTCATAGCCCAACCACCAATGCCTAAAACAACAACATACATGCAGAAATTAAGGACCAAAAGCAAAGATGCAACAGGTTTCATCTGCCCACTAGCCATTCTTGGTTCTTGAAAATGATAATGATATAAAGGCTTGAAATCTCTTTTTGATGAAAATTGAACAATGGTTTTGTAAAGGCTAAGAAGACTATGTTGTACAAATGCATGTGATGTCTGCAAGTTCTTTGGGGTCTTTATAAATACTTTAATCTCATAAGGTTTTGGTTCTTTTCTTGTAAGGCTGTTTGTTCTAAAGGGCTTTGTGGGGTTGTAAAGGGAATGCTTCCTAATCAAGACAAGGGAGCAAAAAACCAAGATTCTTATCAAGGGAAGGAAGCAAAAACCAAGATTCTTTCCCAGCTAAACATTTTTTAGTATATCTTTTGAGGTGGTACATTCTTTGATTTCAAAAGGAACATTCTTTGTTTCATACAAAATGAGCTAGGTAAGATGACAAAAATGGTCTCTTATGTTTGAGTTAGGTTCAAAGTAATCTCCAATATATAATCTTGGACAATTTTGGTCTTTTAAGTTTGCGAAAAATGAGCATTTTTGGTCTTCACCAAATACAAAGCAAACTCCATCGGTTAGATTAGATGGAAATTTTGAAGAAGAAAAAGGATAGCATTTGTTAAATATTTAACAGAGATCAAAAGTGTTCACTTTTGAAAAATTTAAGAACCAAAACTACTCAAAGTTATATTTAAGGGACTACTTCAAATCTATCCTCAAATTACAATTTTTTTGTCATTTTCTATGAAGTTGTTCAGTGTAATTTACGGTTTAGGGTAATTTAAATTGTACAATAACATACTCAGCTATCTTGTGAAGGTAGGGAAATTATTTCTTATAGATCCTCAACTCAAGTAAAATATATCAAATGATATATGAAAATTATGAGGGGAGAGGAGTAGTAACAATATGAAATAATATGATAATCGGAACAAAGAACAAGAGTAATACCAAAATCGAATATTAAGGTAACAAGAAAATAAAAATAACAATAAAGAGAAGGAAATTGGTATTACTCTACGTACCAACTCTCTATCCTAATCTTTGACTTTCACAACTTCTTATCTAGAGTCATGTATTCGATAAGTTATAAGTGTGCATCCAGTCTAATCATTTCTCACTAATACTTATTCGTCATATATCTACCTCTCCTCAGACATACTATTGCGGTATAACCAACCTCACACACCTTCACAATAAGGCATTCGAGCATCTCTTCTTCACATGACCGAACCATCTTAATTTCACTTTTCTCATATTATCCACCATGGAAGTCATTTTCATCTTATCCCAAATATCTTCGTTATTAACTCTATCTTTTCTAATATACTCACTCATCCATCTCAATATTCTTATTTTTGCTACCTTAATCTTTAGAACATGTGAGTTCTTGATCGGTCAACACTCTCAGCTATACAACTTGGTCTAACAATCACTTTATATTATCACACGGATACTAACCTCAATATCATTCAGCCCGCTCATGTGTAACATCACCATCAATCTCATAAAAATGACACTGGTATGTAAGTGTTAGTGTCATTTATCAGCCAAAGTTTTTTTTTCCCTCTTCTTTGAGGCAACCGTTGAAGCCTTCAAAATACCGTTAAAACCATACAGTGAACTTTCTTCACTGGCTTCTTCTCATGCCTAATTATGTTGTTCCTCGTTGCTATATCTCAAGATCTTTAATTGGTTTAGCAAGATTCTTCAGAGTAGCTAGCCCCACTTGCTATTCAATTCTATCTGAGCACCTAAAGAACCAACGAATTGATGAAGCTAAAGAGCTTTTTGAAAGAATCCCATCTCCAAATATCTATTTATGCACCAAAATGATAGCTGGGTATGCTGAAAATCTAAGGTTGAATGAGGCACTGCAGCTATTTGACAAAATGCCTGTCAAAGATACGGTTATGTGGAACTTGATGATTAAAGGGTGTGTAGACTGTGGGAATATGGACATGGGTTTGAAGCTATTTGAGGAAATGACCCAAAGAAATGTAATTTCTTACACAACAATGATAAGCGGGTTTTTGAAGTTTGGAAAGGTTAAAGAGGCTGAGAGTTTGTTTTCGGAGATGCCACAAAGGGATGTGGCTGCTTGGAATGCTATGATCTATGGGTATTTTGAGAACGGAAGAGTTGAGGAGGCTGTTAAGTTGTTTGAGCTGATGCCTTATAGGAATGTGATTTCGTGGACGTCGGTTATTAGTGGGCTTGATCAATATGGGAGGAGTGATGAGGCTCTGTTGATTTTTAAGAAGATGCTAGATTTCTTCATTGAGCCTACTTCTAGTACTTTTGCTTCTGTTATTACAGCTTGTGCTAATGCAAGGGATTTAGGTCTAGGTAGTGAAATTCATGCCTGTGTTGTGAAGCTTGGTTATCTATATGATACTTATGTCACTGCTTCACTAATCACATTGTATGCTAATTGTATGCACATGGATGATTCTTCTAAAGTATTCAGTGAGAGGTTGCATATAAATATAGTTGTATGGACGTCTCTTTTGACAGGGTATGGTTTGAATTATAAGCACAAAGAAGCATTGAAAGTGTTTGGGGACATGATTAGGATTGGTCTACTTCCGAATCAGTCTTCCTTCACTAGTGCCCTAAATTCATCCTGTGAAATGGAGTCTATTGATCTTGGCAAAGAGATTCATGGTGTAGCAGTCAAACTCGGATTGAACACTGATTCGTTTGTTGGCAATTCGCTAGTTGTATTGTATTCAAAATGTGGAAATATAAACGATGGACTCATTGCATTCAAGGAGATTCCTGAAAAAAACATAGTTTCATGGAACTCAATTATCGTGGGATGTGCACAACATGGATTTGGTAATTGGGCACTCACATTGTTCGCCCAGATGGTTCGTTCAAGGGCTGATATGGATGATATTACATTTACTGGGTTACTTGCTGCTTGTAGCCATTCTGGCATGCTAGAGAAAGGAAGACGCTTATTTCAATATATCCCCCAAAGCTCATCCATTGAAGTGACACTTGAGCATTATAGTTGTATGGTAGATATCCTTTGCAGAAGCGGAAAGCTAAATGAAGCAGAGGATTTGGTGAAAAGCATGCCCATGAGACCAAATTTGTCAATATGGTTAGCTTTGCTTAGTGGTTGTAAGAAGCATTTAAACTTAGAACTGGCCGAAAGAGCTGCAGAAAACGTTTTTCATCTTGACCCAAACTGTAGTGCTGCTTATGTTTTGCTATCTAACATTTATGCCTTCTCTGGTAGATGGAATGATGTAGCAAGAGTTAGAGGAAATATGAGAAGAAGAGGAAACACAAAACAACCAGGATGCAGTTGGGTTAATCAGAAGGGAATCCGGCATACATTTCTTTCTGGTGATACTTCACATCCTCTAAGTGATGGGATATACGAAAAGCTGGAATGGTTGATGGAAAAGTTGAAGGAATATGGTTATGTCCCTGATCAAAGATATGCATTGCATGATGTAGAGGATGAACAGAAGGAAGTTCTGTTGTCATATCATAGTGAGAGGCTGGCTATTTGCTTTGCATTAATTACAACTCATGGTAGTGCTATAACAGTAATGAAGAACCTGCGTGTCTGTGGGGACTGTCATTCTGCCATCAAGCTCATAGCGAAAATTGTTGATCGTGAAATCATAGTAAGAGATTCTAGCCGCTTTCATCACTTCAGGGATGGCTTTTGTTCTTGTTCAGATTATTGGTAGCATTATCCTTTTGATAATCACTGTGGAAATGGTTAGCGGAGTCTGGTAATTAGTTCACTAGAAGCAGGACCACATTTAATTTTAGGAAACTGCCAGAGTTGTATTGGGCCAACACTCTGAAATGCTTTGCACCAATATAGTAGGGTCCTCTTGTTCATGCTACCCGTGAAGAAATCAGATATTGGCATCCTCTGCTTCATATGTCTAGCAGCTGATCTTAAAGCCATGTCTAAAATGTTTCTGATACTGCCCTATGATTGACCAAATATACTTGAAGTCGAGGCAACCACTACAGACTAATAAGCTCATGTCAATCTTGTAGATCTACTATTCTTGGAGTTAGAATTATTCGTCAGCGGCTGGTACTTAATTGTGCAGTAGATGAAGTTCCCAAGTTATTTAGCTAGGATCAGCAAATAGAGACCCCTGGTTTATTCTGCATTAATCAGCATAGGAAGATTCCATCGACAGATCTTTCCAACAGCGATCAGATAGAGAGATATATTTCATTATTGGAGCTTAAGTCATAGAAATCTCGCTCTCTGAGAGGGGATTGGGGGAGGAGAGATTATTAGAAAGTCGTCTAATATAGAATATGCCAATAATGTTCCTGCCATTGCAAACAGGAAATACACTTGTAAGAAATTTTATCACAAATTTTGGAAACGGCCGGTAGTTGTTTGATTCCTGCCTCAGCCTTAAGATACTTGAATCATACCTGCATGGCTGCTGACACAAAAGAGACTCTCACTTGAAATATATTGGAGCTGTTATCTGCTTAGCATTGAATATAAGGCCTTGATCCATCAGCATTGCTATAGCCGATGTTGTCTTCGTGTTGTTACTGCTGAAAACCTTACAATTTCCCATCAACCTCAGATTTTTATCCATGAACACACCTCCCCAGTTCTCCTGATTGAAAAGTCCTATGTGCAATGGTATACTTTTTTTTTGTTGTAAATAGAATTTGATTAATGATGCAAAGTCAGCTGATTTGATGTGAAAGTGGATCTTTCTGTAATATTCAAGCATAATTCATGTTGCATTGATAATACTTGTCCAGACGAGAGTCCTCTTATATATATGACCATTAATATTTCATGGTATAGTGTTGTATTTTTGAGTTTCATAATAAAGGTACACCATAATTATTTAGTTCTTACAAGAAAGAGAAGGAAATTATGCTCGATTACTTTACCGATTGTACATCCAAAATTACATTGCTACACATTTGCCAGTTGATTATGGATGAACTCTAGGTTTTCTTAAATTAAATTTACTGTGCAAACTATTGATTTACGGTATAGATAAGTACATGAACTTTTTTTACAGAATATATAGGGTAAAACAATAACATACCCTATACATCTATCCTATTGAAATAAGATACAGGATATATTCTCAAGGTATCGAGTATGACAAACACCTAATGAAATTTTACAGTATCAAAACTGAGTAATAATTTCAGAAACATCTAATTAATTGCACATCAAAAATCTGTTGACAACCCTTGAACCAAGAAAGCTCATTCATCCTCCTGGCTACGCAACCTAGCAAGCTTGTTAGTTACTACGCATCAAGTTGGGATTCTCTCTCGACTATTTCTTTCCTTTTCCTCGTGGATACATTATGAGCAATCTCAGCACAGCAAGTCCTGTGAATAAGAGAAAGAATTTAACAGTGAGGTCACAAAGAAAAGATGGAATAAGCAAACGAATTTTGCTCTCTTGCATTACCTGTTGTGCATCAACAAAATATCAAGTTCACTTGCATTGTGCACAACAAACTTCTTAAAGCCATTGGGCAGATAGTGGCAAGTCTTCTTGTCAGGAACCATATCCAATACTGGGCATCAAGACACATCACTTGAACTTCCTTCTAACTCTGGAGTCTATTCCCTTTGGTCTGCGCCAATTTGTCTGTTATAATACAATACAACGAAAATTACTTCCACTTAGTAAACCTAGCGCCCATGACTTGGGCGAAGGCAAGTGAAACAAATCAAACTCTATAAATGTCTCGAACAAAAATTTCTCTATAATCAAGTGAAGTGTTGAATACTACTAAATATACATAGAAAAGGTTGAAAGATACAAGGGATGTAAGCAGGGTTAAAGTAACAGAAAGCTTATTGATAAAGAAGCCAACTGTGTCGCAAGATCTGTTCTTTAGTTTAATTTCTGCCCGTAAAACGAAACACCCAGCAACAAAGTAGTCTGGACATAAGATACCATAGGCAACAAAATTTTAAACAAAAGAAATTGAAGAATAGTACTGCAAAGCATTGTCTTATATGCAATCCCAGCCGAAAGATAGTGATATTTTTATATTAATCACTGGTCAATCAGCAATTATGGGAAAAATTCATCAGTGACTGCATAACTAACACTAGAAACTTTCAAACCAAATCACAATACAGAAAAAAATGGGGAAACCAAAACCTTAAAGGAGGATGAGATATGCTATAAGATCAGATGGTAGTGCATGTATTTGAATTCATCATTGAACCCTCCAGAATAGGTGGATACGCATCATCACACCTTATTCGCATAACTCCCACAAACAAGCTTAGCATCAAACAAGGAAAGCTAAAGCCAAATAAATATCCAATTTAATATTATTGTTTAGGAAGGATCAGAAACAATGAGTCAATCACCACCTTGCAAATCCAATAAATTGGATGCAACTTAAGACTGGGGCGACAATAACTGTCATCATTTTCCCTTTCCCAATACAAAAAAATCAACAAAATAAGCACAACAAACAAGGTAAATAAATTTCTTAATAATGTTCACAAAAAACTAAAAGATGCTGCTTATAAATAATATCTATTAGCTTGCTGAGATTTATCATGCCACAAAATACATGTAAGCAGGGTTAAAGTAACAGAAAGCTTATTGACAAAGAAGCAACTGTGTCGCAAGACCTGCTTTATAGTTGGTTTCTGCCCGTAAAAACGAAACACCCAGCAACAGAGTAAAGACTGGACATTAGATACCATAGGCAACAAATAATGTGAGATAAACTGAAGTGATTAAAAACAAAAGAAGAATAATAATGCAAAGGTAAACTGAAGGAAGTGATTAAAAACCAAAGGAGAATAATGAACAAATTTTTCTTGATGCAACCTCAGCCGAAAGATGGTGATCTTTTATATTAATCACTGTCAATCAGTAATTTGGGAAAAAATCATCATTGACTGCATCAGTGATTAATAACTTTAGAACTTTCAAACCAAATCACAATACAGATAAAAGTGGGGAACCCGAAACCTTAAAAAAAGGATGAGATATGCTATAAGATCAGATGGTAGTGCATGTTTTGAATTCATCATTGAATTCTACAGAATAGGTGGATAAGCATCATCACACCTAATTAGCATAACATCAACAAACAAGATTAGATGCAAGAGAAAATAGCTAAACGATTGCAAATTTCAACATTATTGTTTAGGAGAAATCAGATATGATGTGTCAATCACCACCTTGCAAATCCAATAAATTGGATGCAACTTAAGACTGGGGCGACAATAACTGTCATCATTTTCCCTTTCAAATACAAAAAGTCAACAAAATAAGCACAACAAACAAGGTAACAAATTTCATGCTAATGTAACACAAAAAAGAGAATGGTTTCCACTATTACTGAACAATACAATGACATTGAAGCTAAAACTAAAAATATGCTGTTTATAAACAATAGAATAATAACATTGCAGAGATTTTATTGCGCCAAAAAATACTATCATCTTTAATAAAAGATATGTAAGCAGGGTTAAAGTAACAGAAAGCTTATTGATAAAGAAGCAACTGTGTCGCAAGACCTGCTCTATAGTATAATTTCTGCCCGTAAAAACGAAACACCCAGTAACAGAGTAAAGTCTGGACATTAGATACCATAGGCAACAAATAATTTGATAGAAAATTGAAGGAAGTGACTAAAAACAAAGGGAAAATAGTGCACAAATTGGTTCTAGATGCAATCTCAGCCGAAAGATGGTGATCTTTTATATTAATCACTGTCAATCAGCAATTTGGGAAAAAATCATCATTGACTGCATCAGTGAATAAACACTGCAGAACTTTTAATACAAATCACCATACAGATAAAAATGGGGAAACCCAATACATCAAAGAAGGTGAGATATGCTATAAGATCAGATGGTAGTGCATGTATTTGAATTCATCATTGAACCCTACAGAATAGGTGGATACGCATCATCACACCATATAGCATGTCTCCACAAACAAGCTTAGCATCAAATTAAATAAAACAAAAACAAAGTATAAACTGTTTAGGAAGAATCAGACATAATGAGTCAATCACCACCTTGCAAATCCAATAAATTGGATGCAACTTAAGACTGGGGCGACAATAACTATCATCACTTTCCATTCTTAACAAACGAAAATACAATAGATAATAATAGTGCGCAAAGAAGCAAATTTTTATCCTAATGTTCAAAAAACTGAACCAAATCACAAAAAAAAAAAAAAAACAGAGGTACAGAAACCCAAGACCTTAAAAGGATGACAAATGCTATAAGATCAGATGGTAGTGCATGTTTTGAATTCATCATTGAATTCTACAGAATAGGTGGATAAGCATCCTCACATCTTATAAGCACATTGTCCACAAATAAGATTTAACAACAAAAGGAAAAAGCTAAAATCAAACAAACAAAAAAGTTTCACGTTATTGTTCAAGAAGAATCAGATATGATGTGTCAATCACCACCTTGCAAATCCAATAAATTGGATGCAAATTAAGACTGGGGCGACAATAACTCTCATCATTTTCCCTTTCCAACACAAAAAACCAACAAAATCCTATCTTTTTGTCACCATAAAAAGATGAACTTAATACAAAAGGGGGGTTTAAGAAATGATAGAACAATAATACCTTGACAGTGATTCTCCTATCACTCTGATACCTCTTGAATTGCTTCATCCTTTTCTTGATTACCTTCTTTTTCAGTAGAGGAACCGCCATTGTAACTCTACTTTACCTTCCATTACAAAAGAACAAACATTACATACAGAAATTAAACATTGAAAAGAACATACAAAGGAAAAGGGGCTCACTGCGAATTAGGGTTTCTTCAGATCCGCTGTGGCTGATGGGTAACTGGAGACTTATAGTAGGGTTTATATAGGAAGAAGATGGGCATTTGCTAGGGTTTTACAGCCGTCAGGCGATAAAAAGAAAACAATCTACGGCTGTAAAGTTACTTGACGAAACTAACGGTCCTGATTGATCAAGGATAATATGATCAAACTCCAGTTTAAGTCCTATAAGTTTTATTTTAATTACTAGTTACATTCCAAGTTTTTACTAAGTCAAGACTGTCATTGGGGAAAGTTCTCAAGTCTCATACACTCATCCGAAGATTGATATAGTTTAGATATTTAATTAGTCTTATTTCCTTGTGGATATTATGTTTTTCTTCTATGGTTCTCATGTAATCTAGCTCAACTTTTAATGTTTTATAAATGCTTTTAAGTTATGTCAGATCTGTGTTCCTTTGATTCAATTTTTAACTATGTACTTGTCTAAATAGAACAAACTAATTAAGGAACAAGATGTTGGCCTATAGGTAAAGATAATAGCAACAAAGTAAACATAGACGAGCTCAAGCACAAGATGTTCCTGTAATTTTGTAATGTCAATGGTGCTCTTTATTGGATGGATCACGAAGAAATGACATAATTTACTGGCAATCCTACTTTTGATGAATATGTCAAAATTCTAAAGCCTCAATGGGTAAGTAGTGTTTGATTGTATTATTTCATCAGTTGATTAATGTCTCTCAAATATTTTTCCAAGAAAAATTAATTTTTTGAGTGCTTGTCTTTACAAACAAAATAAACTGAATTAAGGAAACGTAGTTTTGCAAGAAAAGACTTTTAATTAGATTGTATTTATTATAGGTTCATGAATTTAAACAAAAAGTATCTTTCAAAAAGTCAATAATGTAGAATTAAAACAAAAATGAATGTTAAAATTCACATTCATGTACTTTTTATATTTCAAAACTTTTAATGGATAAATTTGTTTCAAAATTAAGTGAAACACTAACTCTTACAACCCCCACTTGTTTCAAGAAATTTTATCTTTGAAAAATCTAAAAAATATTTTGAGACGTTAATCTAGCAACATGCTTCAATAATGGTGTCATTTGGACTTAAACCATTAGCTAGTGAAGACTTTTAAAAATCATTGATTGGTTAGTGAACGGATCTTGAACTAAGTGGTTCATTGAATGAAATAAACAAATACTTCCACGCATATCACTATGTTTCGGTGAAAATCAAAATCCTTGGACACCTTACAACCATGTGTCTTGAATCCTCCTAGCTAAGTGCTTTAAGATTTTCCTGTTAAAAATCTTATTGAAACGGCCTTCACTTCGCACTTAGTACGGTGAATTCATCAAGAGTAACTTTGTATACTCCGACCAAATAGTCTATGAATTTCATTAAGAGAAATTAATCTCATCCTCCTTTACAACAAAGTATCGATAAATTTATCAATATTCCTACTAAAGAGAAGGATGAGATTATATTCTCTTAATAAGTCTATAAATCAATTTCGGTTGGAGTGTGTGGGAATACTCTTGAAACAAATGGAAAATTGTAAGAGTAAGTATTTCAATTAATTTTGAAATAAATTCATTCGTTAAAAGTTTTGAAATATACAAAATACATGATTGTGAATTATAACATTCATTTTAAATTTAATTCTATATTATAGGTTTTTTGGAAGATACTTTTTTTCTTTTCAATTCATAAACCTATAATAAATACTTGAACAATTCCAATGCTAAGCACATTAATGGACAATAACATATATCTAGAAGTTTTAGAGCATATCTTTACTTTCTTTGGTCTTAGAACAAAAAACTCCTAGCCATAAATTGGGGATATTTAAAAATTATATATGCTTCGAGTCTCCAAAGTGATACCTTATAGATACAGATTCACTCCAACGACTAGCTAACGGCTAGTTAAACTTTCATTATTTACTAAATACTAAGTTGGTGTAAGAAATAATATTAGGAAAAAAATCTAATATTAGCTAACGGCTAGTTAAATTTCAATAATTACTTTCAATTAATGGCTCTGTGTGGTTAATTGTGGAACTCAAAGTAGCCTCTATAGTCATTTTAGAGGATCACACTATATATGAAAGTCCAGTCAATCCATAAAACCTAAACCTTATAAACTAGCTCCCTTTTTGTTCAAACGAAATGACAATCATGGATGCCCAAAGCTCTAAGCTTTTCAAGGGAGATTGCGGAGAAAGTAGAATCTCTCATGTCACGGGGATTATGGACCTTCATATAGTGATTATGGTTGACATTCTTTCACGGTTGCCAATCAAGTCCATTTTCTATTGTAAGATTGTTTGTAAACTCTGGTATCATCTTTTAACTTCCGACCCTTTGTTTTGTAAAATGTATTACAAAAGATCATCTTACTTTCCCAGCATTTTGCTTTCGATAAATCACTCAATCCGCTTACTTGTGGAACTCAAAGATGATGTTTCTCACCCCCTAAACAGAACTATTGTGTTGAGCCCTAGGTTTCATCTCCCCCCAACTTTATATACACAAAACTTGACATTAATTAGTTCATGTAATGGGTTCATTTGTTTGTTTAATGGTTCAAGGGATGCTGTAGAGCATTCGATTTACATTAGCAATCCTCTTTTGGGTGAATATTTCGAGGTTAAATTGCCCAAATGGGAGAAAAGAATTCAGCGTGTTGCCTATGCATTCTGCTTCAGTGAAACCTCTGGACAGTATAAAGTATTGAGATCAGTAGTTAGTAAGTTTAAGGGACGTCCACATGTATCAGAGTTAGAGGTTTATACTCTTGGAGTTGATGAGAAATGGAGAAATGTGGGTGAAGTTCCAGAACCTCTATGCGGATTATTTTGTAAGGCTAACGTCAATGGTGTTGTTCATTGGATGAGTTCGGAAAAAAATGACAGCATTTACTCCTTTAACAGTTGGACAGAAGAGGTGAAATCCATGTTAGCTCCGCGTGGTCTGACAACTTCATCCTACGGCTTGACACTAGTAGAGTTGGGGAATTGTCTATGTTTGTGTGATACTTACCATAGTGAGTATATTGATATATGGTGGATGAAAGAGTATGGAATCGCTGAATCTTGGACTAAAGATCGCATTTGGAAGGATACTATTCAACCAGATATCAGTTGTGATAGATTTATACCAATCTCAACTTGGAAAGATGGAGAAATATTGATGCAAAGGTATCGTGGCACACATGTCGTTTCTTACAACCCAAAAGAAAAGAAGTTTACGAAGGTTAAAGTGTACCTTGGATTTGCTGGGACTAGCTACATCCCAAGTTTTTACTCACTCAAGACTGTCATTGGGGAAAATTTACAAGTCTCATATGCTTATCCGAAGATTGAGATAGTTTAAATATTTAATTTGTCTTATTTCCTCCTGGATATTATGCTTTGCTTTTATGTGTCGTCTAGCTTAAGACCTGTCAACTTTTATTGTTTTATGAATGCTTTTGAGTTATGGTATGTCAACTTTTATTGTTTAATGGATGTTTTTGAGTTATGGTATGTCAACTTTTATTGTTGAATGGATGCTTTTGAGTTATGGTATGTCAACTTTTATTGTTTAATAGATGCTTTTGAGTTATGGTAGTACAACTCTTTCTCTACACTACGATAAAAATAACTTTTAGCGACAATAAACAGACACATTCATAAAGAGTGTTAAAGTCTTTACTGACATTAGTTAAGTGTCATTAGATCCAATGTCGCTAAAAGCTTTGGTGACATATACAAAGAGCCCTAATTACCGCTAAAAATATATATTTAGCGGCAATTGAGTTATTGCAATGTGAAGTCTCGAAAGTTGAATTCCTTTTGTTCAATTCATTCTGCACTTGTCTGAATAGAACGAACTAAGGAACAAAATATTGGCCTATCAGTAAAAATAATAGGAACATAAATATTGGCCTATCATTGATAGTTCTTTAGGTATTAAAAATTGTTGTGTTACTCTTTAAAGCATATAAGGCCTAATTAGTATTGAATAAGGAATGATAATTAATAGCCCTTATAATAAGATGTAGTGTAATTTGTTTGTCTCCTAATTCCTTTTTTTCTCTGCTCAAACACACGTCATTTCTTCAAATTGTGAATTGTGATATATGTTTAACTAGTAAAATTATCCGCGCATCGCGCAGGAATTTAATATCATGAAATTGATAAAATAATACTTAAAACCTATCAGTCATTAAAACTAAAACACTATATTATCTTACATACAAGATTACGTAGTAACAAACATTAATAATGTAAAGGAAATTGAAAATTATTGAAATTGTTCTTGGAAATTAGTTCCAGAACTAGAGGAAGAGAGGGAGAAGAAGAAAGAAAGAAGAAACAATTTGTTTTCTTATTAGTAAAATCTGAACACAATGAAAAACTTACATTCACTAATGACACAGTCTCCCTTATATAAGGAGATTTGTTACCGTTACTACATAACTAACTAATAGTTAGTTATAACTAACTCTAATTAAACATACTAACAACCTTCTTTTTTTCCCTTTATCTCAACACTCCCCTCAAGCTAGGAAGGGGAGAATATATCACATAGTCCTAGCTTGGAATTAAGATAGTTGTGCTGAACTCTAGTAAGCCCCTTAGTCAGCATATCTGTTGGATGTTCTTGTGTTGAAATGTAACTTGTAGTAATAACTCCTTGAAGAATTTTTTCCCTGATGAAATAACAATCAACATCAATGTGTTTTGTTCTTTCGTGATAAACCGGATTTGCTGCTATTTGCATTGCAGACTTGCTATCACTGAAAACACAAACTGGGAGTGTTACCTCACTTCCAATTTCCTTCATTAAACCTAGTATCCATACTAGTTTTGCTACAACAGCTGCAAGGCTTCTGAACTCTGCTTCTGGAAACTGTAGTCTGTTTCTTTGACTTCCAAGAAACTATTGAATCTCCCAGCTTCACAAAATAACCAGTTACAAACCTTCTAGTTTGTGGACAAGATGCCCAATCAGCATCACAATAAGCACTGACCTTCTCTTCTGAACTACTAGACAAAAGAACTCCTAACCCAGGCTGATTTTTGACATACCTTATGTAACACCCCGACTTTTCAAAACGTCTAAATTAACTCGTATATTCGTGGAAAGACAAGGAGGGTGAGTAATAAATTAAGAATGATGTGGTATGACCTATTTTAAGTGTTCAGGTGTTGCATCTCAAGTTAGGTAAGTGGCAAAATAAAAGTTGGCGGAAGTTATCGTAATTTCCTTCTTAAAGATTTCTCTGAAATTTGGGTCAAATGTCTTGGAGGTTTTCTCCCAATCTATAAAGAGTTATGGGGCCCACAAACTATTGAATCGAAGGTCTACGAGTCTAGTTTCCAACGCATCAAACCGTTCATTCATACGACTTCAGAATAGAGAGATATTCGCATTTTCGTGGGACTGCGCAAGCAGGCGCGTGAGGTGGGGCCTTAGGTCGGTGGAAAGTGTATATATCTTCTTCTTCGCGTTTTTTCTTCATTTTTAAGCTAATTATACAGAGAAAACATAGAAACCCATTTTTAGGATCAAGTAAAATATCGATTTTCTCGACGTAAGTTCTTGACGAAAGTTGTTCTACGCGTTGGGCTCATCATCGTGGTATAATTTGTTTTATCGATTGCGTAGCATATCACATTTTAATGTTGGGACAGCAGGGGTTTGAATATATTTAAAGGTTTTGAGGTGAATTACGAAGCTAAGATCGAGGTAAGACCCTTCTTTCATCGACTCTAGCTTTTATAAGCACCAAATAGCAATTTGCGACGGAAACACATATCTTTTATTGTATTGTCATGGTATCTTTTATTTTATGTGTTGATTACGGTCCTACCTTGTTGTAGTATCGAGGGAGTTACGAGTTAAAGTCTTTAGGCGACGTGAATTTAGCGAAAAAGGTATGTTAAGGCTATTCTCTTCCTATGGCATGTTCCTTAAAGCTTAGGAGCAATGTAATTGAGATGTTATCGTTGTTATACTTGTAGCCATCATTGTTGATTGTTGGTTGCTCTAGTGCGTATAATCCTCTCTTATCGGGATTCTTATTCAGTAGTAACATTCGTATGTTGGACACGACTTAGAGGCTAATTGTATAAGTTGCCTATAACTAAATTGCTCACTTTTAGCTGTTGGATTGTTATTGTTGCCTTTGGGCTATTGTTGTTAACTGCAGGAATGTGATCTATGCCTAGCAGGGTTATGTTCTGCCTACAGGGCTGTATGGATGCCTAAAAGGGCTATGAGTTGCCTACGGGGCTATATTGATGCCTAGAAGGGCTATGAGTTGCCTACGGGGCTATATTGATGCCTAGAAGGGGTATGAGTTGCCTACAGGGATATATATTGAAGCCTAAGAAGGTTATGTACTCCCTACATGGCCATGTTGTTGCCTAAGAGGGCTATGAGATGTCTATAAGCTATGTTGATGCCTAAGAGGGCTATGTGACTGCCTGCGAGGCTAGGAGACTACCGATAGGGGTATACAGGCTGATTGGCACCTTCCGGGCTTATGGGGGCCTGAGTAGGTGGTCTTGTGTGCTGTTTGTACCTACCGAGCTTATGGGGGCTTGGTTAGGTTGTTGTTTTATTATTTTTGATAAATTTAGATTTAGAAGCAGGTCAGTATAATTATCTTATCCTTAATTTATTTATCAGATTATTCCAGTATATCAGGATACCTCATCATAGTCTATTGCCTTTCATACTCTGTACATTATTTTGTACTGACGCCCCATTGCCTTGGGGCGCTGCATTCATGCATGCAGGTCCTGACAGACGACCGAGTAGACCTCCTTATCAGCAGGATTGACTTTTATCCGGCTGGTCAGCCCCTTTCCTCCGGAGCTGCCAGAGTTGGGAGGTTTGTTAACTTTTGTTGTATATATTCTCATGGGTAGGCTGGGGCCCTGTCCCACCAATCTTTACTACTCTTAGAGGCTTGCAGACTAGTGTGTGGGGTTTATAGCTACGTTATGGCCATGCTGGCCTATGTTGTTGGTTTGCTGAAGCTTGTGAGCTGTTTGATGTATTGTACTGATATTTACCTATTTTTAGTTTTGGTATAGATATCATGGTGGCCTCGACGGCCCAATCAGGACTTCTGTGCTAGTTGGATATTTCTTTATATGAACTCTTGGGAGTAGCTGGTTCTTTTGTAGATTTGTTGACAGGGGCCTTGCCGACCGATGGCTTAATTTTAAGCCGAGATATACTTGTTTGTTTTCTTAATTGCATGTGACTGCCATGCGCTAATAGCAAATGGTTCAGCAGGGTCGGCTCGGGCCTGAGTTTTGGCTTTAGGAGTCAGTTGCGCCCTTTGAGTTTGGGGCGTGACACCTTACCATTTTAACTGCAGCTTCCATATGTGATTTTTTAGGACTTTGTAGAAACTGACTTAAAGTTTGTACACTAAATGCTATATCAGGCCTGGTCATTGTTAAATAAAGCAGTTTCCCAACCAACCTTTGATATGTCTTTTGATCAGTAGAAGGATCATTATCTGGTTTCATGTGCTTGACATGATCATCAAACTGTTTTGAGGTTAGTTTTAGGTTATAGTCTATGGGAGCCCCAGCTGGCTTAGCTGCTCCTAACCCTAATTCAGCCATAGTTCTAATGCATACCTTCTTTGATGCATTAGTATTCCTTTATCAGACCTTGCAAATTCAATACCAAGGAAAAATTTTAACTCCCCTAAATCTTTCATCTTGAAAGTCTCTGACAAAGTAGTTTTGGCTTCCTCTATCAACTTCAGATTATCACCAGTGACCAACATATCATCTACGTATACTAACACAAGTGTAACTCCTTCAGATGTCTTTTTAACATACAAAAAGGGATCATATCGACTTTGAACAAACCTGAACTTCACCAATACCTCTGATAACTTTGTATTCCATTGTCTAGGAGCCTGTTTTAAACCATATAGAGATTTGACTAGCCTACACACCTTGTTCTCCCCCTGGTTTGCAAACCCCTGAGGCAAGTCCATATATATCTCATCAGTTAGGTCTCCATTGAGAAACGCATTATAAACATCCATCTGATGAACATACCACATTTTCTTTACTGCTACTGCCAGAACAATTCTTACTGTTTTCATTTTTACTACTGGAGAGAAAGTCTCTTTAAAATCTATACCTTCTCTTTGATTGTACCCTTTTGCAACCAGCCTAGCTTTAAACCTTTCTACCTCACCTGAAGCCTTATACTTTACCTTATACATCTATCTACACCCAATAGGTTTCTTGCCTTTAGGTAAATCAACCACATCCCAAGTATGGTTGTGACTTAAAGCTTCTACTTCATCTTTCATAGCCTGAACCCACCTTGAATCTTTACTTGCCTCC